TTTTTTTGGGGGCCCTAATTATAACGCTTTTTTTTTGGGGGGGGTGGAAAAAGGAAATTTGGGTTTGGGGGCCGGGGGGGAGGGGCAATTCCCCCCCCCCCGGGTTTCACGGGGGGGGGGTTCGTGTTTTCTTGGCCCCGGGGAGGGGGTTTGTTTTGAACTCCCCCCCCCCCCCCCCCCCCCCTTCCGTCGCAGGTACGTCAACAGCGCGCCCGGCATGGCGAGCCGGCGGTGGGAGGACGCGCGGCTGAAGATGGCGAGCGCGCACACCGAGCGCAAGTATGCACACCTCAAGAGCTTGGCGGCCTTTGTCCGCCAGCTCAAGGCGTGGGACGAGGCGTGCGCCGACGGCCGCTCGTCGTGCTGGTTCGAGACGGAGGGCGACCTCCCGCGGCTGGCCGGGGAGGCGCTGCTGGCCGAGGCGGCCGCGACGGGCGCGAGGCGGATCGCCTTTGACGCCGTCGCGGCGCGTCTCGAGGCGACCGCGGCGCCGCCGCCGCCTCTCGGCACCGCCTTGGCCGCGTGGCCCACGGGGTGGGGCATCGAGGAGGCGACGGGCAACTTCTGCGGGCTGGCGCACTGGGCTGTGGAGGTGTGGCACGCGGCCGGGTCGGTCGACGCGAGCCGGTGGCAGGTCGAGGCTGACGGAGGGCGCCTCTTCTTTGTGCGGGTCGCGGGAAAGGCCGCATAATCGCGCTCTCCGCCGAGGCCCGCCTCGGCGACGGCGCTCGCCGCGCAGCAGCAGCAGCAGCAGCCAGCAGCAGCAGCAGCAGCAGCAGCAGCAGCACGTGATTCTTGACACATGATTACACTACACAGTCCTCCCTTCGGTTGTCGTTTCGAAGCTGTTTTTTTCTTCTATCGCAGCGCACTCGCATCTGTGAGCCTAGCGCAGCGCGAACTCGCCGTCTGGGCCTAGCGCAGCGCGAACTCGCCGTCTGAGCCTAGCGCAGCGCGAACTCGCTCTGAGCCTAGCGCAGCGCCTCGGAAAACACCATTTTGGCTCGCCAACAAGCCCTCCGCGCCCCCACACCGTTAGGATAACACTTTTTTTTCTTGTGGAAGCTTCTCGAGGCTCGTCGACCGCGCCGTCTGACACCATGCGTGCCACCGCTGCATCTACCGCCGCAGCGGATGCCAGCCCGCCGCCTCCTCCTCCTACCGTGCTGATCCCGGGGTTCCTGAGCATGGGCGACTGCTGGTCGTCCGGCGAGCTGGCGGCGCGCGACGGCGCGCGCGCCTTTCTCCCCACCCACCCGGGCCCGCTCTCCTCGCACCACGACCGGGCGGTCGAAGTGTTTTACCAGCTCGTCGGGGGCACGGCCGACTACGGCGCCGCGCACGCGGCAGAGTGCGGCCACGCGCGGTACGGGCGGACGTACGGCGGCCTCTATCCGGAGTGGAGCGCCCGCCGTCCCGTCGACCTCCTCGGCCACTCCATCGGCGGCGTGACGGCGCGCGTGCTGCTCGACCTCCTCCGCAGACGGTGAGC